TTGTTGATTGSCATTTTGYACAAGCAAGCGGCTCCTTTTTCGTGTAAGTTTGCAATATTTAATTCATGTTTGATCGAAATAGAATATGAGTTGTCGGAAATGTTAAAAATGCTGTCTCAGTTTGAAAGAAGGCGCAAATTGAATTGATGGTCAAGGGATCATTGCATCCATGGCAACGAAAACGTCTGCTCAGTCTAATACGAGTTTTACAAGAAWACTCAACAGGGTAACTGAGATTTAACTTTTCACTTATAAGTATACAAACAAATGAGATGGATTTTTTTTGAGATGACAAACTGTAGACTCTCTTTCGACCAGCAACGTTTACTGATGTAAGAGGTGAACAAAACCTTCCGACAACTAACTGAGCAGCGAAGTAAAATCGGAAACAACGGTTTGACCTCATTTTAAACTTTAYTATAAGCTATATAGTGTGTTTTGGGAACTTGAGACTTTGCGTGCGAATAGCGATTATCCGTGAAACCGGAATAGATTCGCCGGTTCCTATGTAGACCATTTAATGTGCGGATACCAAATCTCTTGTGAATTGAAATCACTTATTATTTTTGTCTAGGTAAGAATTGGCAGTTTGTATTCATTTATATAAAAACAATAGGCGCGCGACAGCGCAACTTATCCATGTCGGTTCGGCGTAAAACCAACAAAGCAATGTACCAAAAAACAGCCAAATTGTGAARCCGAAAGAAAGTTTTGATTGTTTTTCGTGAAAAACTATGCAGTGTTTAGTCGTTGGGCTGTGCCGTGGTATTTTGAATGTCTTACAAGTTCTTTTGTAGTTCGCCGATATGGGTATTTAACTCCTCAAAAAGAATCCAAGGTATTCAAAGCGGCTTGTCTCTCTGATCACAGCAAATGACTTTGGTAGGTCATACACTTCGTATTAACTACAACAGGTTGAACAGTTTATATTTAGTCATGTGCAACCCTCCTGGTGGGTCCACGCAACTCAGGAAACGTCATCGCGGATGTATATACGTCGGTGGTTATATAGTAGCCGGTACTTGGACTGTAGAGGCTAAACAATTCTGCCATACTATTTCATCAGTCGTCTGGACACTGTGAGAGGATATTAATAAGGCTGTCGGCAGTTGCGCATTGCATTCGACTGCGCGACACAACAGTGAACGGAAGGAAGGCGTATAAATCGTGATGGAAGAAATACCGAATTATGTCAGTATATAAGAAGCAAATTTATGGACTGGCTTCACTGCATCTAGGAGATACCAAACTGCGATATGGACTTATCAGCGTTAACGGTGAGACTACCATGCATCGACTAGACACCACTTATTTAGGTTTAAGATAATTTATTTTTAAGCACTTTTGACCTCCACGATGCAATCTTCATTTATTTTAAGTCTTTCTTGAGATGACGTTTTTTGTTCTCCCCCCAAGTGACTGAATAGTGTATCATCGATGGGATGACGGGACATTACAGCGCCCGAGGTGCCCAGTACATTAAGCTTGTCTTCTCTTTTGACAGTTTGTCATTGTAGCATTCTTGACGCACTGTGCAAGCAAAGGGACCTCTTCTCCTGTTAACAGAAAAATACGCCTCCACAGTGGCATAAAAAAGACAAAATCAAGAGCAATCTCAGAACGGTCATCGTCAGAACCTGTAGTTCGCGCGGCTGATCTACCAACGAGGAGATCGACGGTCAAGCCGCCCCCAGCTTCCCTGGAAGAACGTGTAATTATCTACTCAAAAACAGGCTACTTCCTTCAAATCCCTTTTTCTGGAAAAATACGTGGTAGTTTGGATAAAAACAGCAAATTTGGTAAGTTTTAGAAACTTCTCTGTTTTCATGCTTTTAGATATAATGTATATATCTCTTCTTTGGGGGAATTTTGTGGAAAGCTATCTCATAATAGTTTTGATCAGTTTAAAATAGTAATAGAAAAGAGGTTTAAAGATTTTTCAGTATTAAGGTACATTTATATGCGTGTCAAATAGTTTTGACGCAGTTTTATTGCCCCCAAAATTGCGGCAAATTTTCCAGGTCCAATATCTTTCGGCAAATGTCAAAGTAAATTACACGATAATACCGATATATTTATCTCTGGAATTAAGTGTGTTATTCAATTTAACAAAACCATTTGAGACAATTGGTCTCTGTCTAAAGAGCGAGAATATTGAGCCTTCGCAAAGGATTGTGGCATATCAGTCTATCTTTAGCTTATTTGTAGATATCTGCATGGGATCACTTTTGGCTATGTATATTCCCTTGATATATCGTGACTATTTAATGATGAGCAAACTTGGATTTCAGATGCTCTCGCGGGGTGAGCTCTTCACGTCGTCACCCTGTTATAGCGCTTTAAGAGAGCGGGTCAGGGAATATCGACCACATGTGTGAAAAACGGAAAAATCGAAAAATCCCAAAATATTCCCAAAGACAGTTTTCTATGAGTNTCATGAGTTCGAAATCTGCTGTGAGTCATGATAGCGGCAAAACGCGCGGTCTTGGATCATGGTCTTGTCAAGCCCAAAATATAGCCACATCGACTGAAGAGTCATCGGTTTTCAATCTCGGTTTTCTTGTTATCAATAGCGACTCCAATAGACTTTAGAGAAACAACAATGTCCCGAGGATGTATTTTTGCTATTTTAATAGTTTTCGATAATTTAGGAAAGTTCTGTGTGATTTGCGAAAGCTTTTGTTGATCGCGTGACCCCGGTGTTGAGACATTTTCACACCTCTGATGGCCTCAGATTCAAGACCTCTGAAAATTCGTAGTTTTAGCAGCCCAAAAATTTTATTGCATTTTTGTAAAGAAGAAATACCCATAATTTTTCGGAACTTGGTTTTATTTCTTCAGGTCATGTAGCAATACACATTTTTGGCCTCTGAAAATCGTGTATTTTAGCGATGCTGAAATTGAATAAAAACACGCATACATTCAAAAGTTTGCTAAAAATTGTAATTTACGTGTACTTGTATAAAAATAAACTCAGAAGATGAAATAAACATCCCTTTTAAAGAATATATGTTTTAATTGTAGTTATTTGACGAATTCATTTTTTTATTGATATTTTTGTAGAATCGATTTTTGTCCTTTGTGAAGCCGCCGTAAAGCCGTCGAACTGAAAATGTCCTGGTTTGCCTGAAATAAGTCACTTGCTGGCTTATCGATATTTTCTTCGTCAAAAACTCATGGAAAACTGTCTTTGGGAATATTTTGGGATTTTTCGATTTTTCCGTTTTTCACACATGTGGTCGATATTCCCTGACCCGCTCTCTTAAGTACATTTTTGCGGTCCAATTATTCTATTAGGCTCTTAAGATCATTTTAGATCAGGAGATGCCGGCTATTTTGCATAAGAATAAACCGTAAGAGTTCGGCTCATTAGGACCAATAAGACAACAAAACCAGGATGCGTTATCGTGATAACAAAAAGATTCTAAACTCTGCTGAATAATCCAGTCAAACATTGCATATAGAGTCGCGTTAATTGGCTAGCGTACCGTGTCACTTTTATAGCTTTAATCATAATGAGGTTTACATAGCATCTGATGTAATGAAATGTACAAAGGATCATATCCGGTCTTAAATGTTACCGTAGGGAGCTAAGACAACACTCGTCTGTTAGTGGGTGTGAGAAGAGGCACCTCTAAAAGGGATTAACAGATCCATGTGTTTTGATGGCACATTATTAGGACATATTTAGCACTGATCTCCCACGAAGAGCAAGCCAAGAATCGTCTGTATTATTATATACGATAATACCGTGTGCCATTTTGACGGACGGATTGCTTTATGTGTATGAGCGATTCATATATGGGCTTACAGCCCAATACACCTCGCTAATTGAACGTGAAATTGCTCCTTACTCAAACCAACGTGACATCTCTAGTGAGTAACCAAAAAAACCTACAAAATTAAAACAAGGCATAGTGTTAATATCGATTGTGAAAAGCTTATTTTAGTTTTGTTGTTTACACCGGAAATTAGATTCGCGGCTGACTTTATAGTGGTGTGATTTTGCTTATTTTTTTAATCTTAAAGGCAAACAAACCGACAGGTCCCAAAAGTACTTAGATTCCGATATTTATCGCTTTAAGTCAGTAACACGGCATGTTCGTGAGTAAGCCTGTAGTTTTGTTCTGCACGAACGCGGTCTAAGCTAAGGTTGTCAAGTTTAACTTTTGGAGTACTTATGTTTTTGGTAGTGAATTCATTCATGCAAACAAATGCAAACAAGCTAACTCCACTTATCAAATCCACAAAGCTAAACCAATATAAAATATGATTTTTATATCCTTTTGTACAGTATRAATTAAAGACATATGCCGAGAGACCATAAAATACTTGTTTGCAACTTCATGAAAGYTTGGCTGTTGKSCGWGAAGAAAGACCTTGTTATGTAAGAGTCTCTTTCCGAAATGATCAAAATGTTTTTTAGCAATTTAATGTAACCTTACGATTCAAGTGCAATRAAACTTTTCATGACTTTACACGTTATCGAAAATTTAGATCCTGATTATCAGATTGATTGAGAAGTGGGTGTGCAGGNGATAAAATCTCTGCTCGCCAATGTAATATCCTCTATATATCCTTGCGCAGTGAAAACGTTAGGAAAATAAGTCGCATCTCCGCTTTTGTGCACCCCCCTGGAAGTGATAAAGAACAATTAGAAGTTCTCTCGTTCAACCCGAGGCGGGGAATCAAGTTCATTCCCAAAACACTTTCCCATATAAATACGGAGCTATATATAGGATATAAATTGAAAGTAGCCGTCATTTTTGTTTCAGTTCAACTGGTTATGGAAGTAGTTTTTACAAGTGTGGTACGAATTAAGGGTGAACACACAAAGAACTATTTGGCAATGAATAGCGACGGGAATCTTTATGTATCGGTAAGTCAAAACAAAGTCCTTTCAGRCCAGTCCAAATTAAGTTATTTGCGCAGGTAGAAAAGCTGTAAACCAAATGGGAGGACCTGCCTTAAGGCTGGCGGTCWCTTCGTCTTAAGTATAACCGATAAGCAGAAGGCAAATAAGCAAATACAAAGGAATGAAGATGATGCCGCTTGCGTTTATGCGTGCATGCAATAGCGCATGAAAACCCGCCAATAGTCTTCATGCCGCAAAGATGTTTACGACCACGTCTTCCTTCCTTAATGCTTATGCACAATAGATTTTGAAAAGTCTTGTCTCTCTAGTTTTTCCATGAAAAGCATCGATCGATCACGGCCTGACTTCGTTTCCCCGTCAGACAAAACTGCCATACTGATGACGTCAARCTGAATCAATGAATTGCACCTGTTTGTCTTGAACCACACCGCTGTACATGCCCCTGGATTATACCGGCAACTTATTACGCCATTACTAAAAAGAAGATTTGTTTATGTCTTTGTCGTAGAAAACTGCAAATGAGGAATGCCTTTTTAAAGAAACTATGGAAAGGACAGATTTCCACACATTTGCGTCGTATGCCTACAGCGGTAAAAATGCWATGAACTTATCAGGCGAATGGTACTTAGCAATTAAGAGAAACGGCAAAGCAAGACATGCTTTGAACACAACTAAAAGACAAAAAGCGACCCAATTTTTGGTTGTTCGCCGAGGAAGCTGACATCGTCAAAACTAACTGACAACGGTATTAGGGATATGATTGTATCAATCTCAATCCTTCAATGTAGTATAGAGAACCAGAAAACTGTATATGTATATAAATAGATCGATAGATAGATAGATAGATAAATTTTGTTAAATTGAATCCAGGCAAGTTTTATTTCAGTTTTCTAATGTAAGTTCACAATATTGTCGTATTTTTTATATTTATTTATTATTTTGTATAAATTAGTATTTTTCTATTGTTATATTTGATATTTTATTTGATAAAGAAACGTGACTGGTTCTAAACTCCTAAACAAGCTGCTGCTAATCGAGGCTTTCTAACCTTCTTTCCAGCGGCAACATTTCATTTAGTCCTTTTGGATGCCTCTGGAATCCTCTTGATCGAGTGGGGCCGGTCATATGGAGGAACTCAGAAAGCCCAAAACGGGAAATATGAACGGAAAGAGAGACGGCTGTGTAGGAGGCTAGAGACTTGTCATAATGCACTCTAAGTGCCCCGAAGAAAGACATTCACATACTACAACTAAAAGAAGGGCTTGAAAAATTAGTGCCATTAATGTTCACTTTTATGTCTTTAAAAGATATAACAATTTTTATAACAAAGAGAACGCGCATTGCATTCTGGTAGTTGTAGTAAAATGACGCTATCATTGTCTTAAGTATTGTTCACGCCTTGTGCCCGGGCATACGGGCTTGAGCCTCGGAATATATATAATGTGTCATACGGTTAAGACGGTTTCAAACAGGAACTCTGTAACGATGCAGAGCTCTTATTTACAACTAAAGGTCTAGAAGTTGTATTTGGATACTGACCGCGCAGTGCAAATGTGCATGGGCAACAGAAAAATGCAATGTTGACACGATGTGTCATGATCTGAGCATCACGCTTTCCACCGGCCCGGCACAAAGTATGAACAGTACCTAAGTTGAAAGAAACTAAGAATATTATATTTTGTTCCAAACGCAATTCAGTTTTCATCTTACAGAATCTCTGAGACTTGCTGCGCAACAAATTACCTCAGTTAATGGAGCTTTTATATAAATCATTAATTTTTCTATTTGTTTTTAATGCATTTTTTGTAAAAAAAAAATATTATATTTATCGCCAAAGTATCTTCACGATCTTTTTCATTTTCTTCTTCTTCTGACTCACTGTTTTTGTTTTTTGTTTTTGTATTACTACTATGTCGTTTCGATGGACGCCATTATTCTGATCGTCTTCATCAGGTTACGACGTAGTATAACTTTAATACCAATAACAGTGAGTAAGATAGCTCGATTATACAACATAACTATTCCTGAACATA